GGATGATGGGGCAGGACACCCAACATCCTTCTGTGACCTCTGCTTGCGTGTGCACACACAAGCATGCAAACACACACCAAAGAAGAAGCAAACAAAAATGGGCTGGAGGCATCTCTTGTTCAGCTTTCTACGGCCCCACTTTGGAACGCCAAAAGGTTGCGGGTTGTTTTTGTTCTTTTGGGGGGCCTACCACCCAGTTCCCAAATAAATCACACATGGAGGCTTATTCTTAATTATAAATGCCCAGCCAGAGCTTGGTTTGTTGCTAGCCAGCTTTTCTTCAATTATCTCGTCTACCTTTTGCCTCTGGGTTTTTACCTTTCTCTTACTTCTGTAAATCTTACTTTCACTCTTACTCTGTGGCTGGCTGTGTAGCTGGGTGACTGGACCCTAGTGTCCTTCTCTGGCTAATACTTCTCCTCCCAGATTTCTCCTTCTATTTATTCTCTCTGCCTGGCAGCCCCGCCTATCCTTTCTCCTGCCTTGCTATTGACCATTCAGCTCTTTATTAGACCATCAGGTGTTTTAGACAGGCACAGTAACACAGCTTCACAGTTAAACAAATGCAACAAAAGTAACACACCTTAAAATAATATTCCCCAACAGACATCAGTCATACAATGACTGCTTAGCATCCCTGAAGGGTTCCACCCACAGGACCACATAAACTAGGTGTGGTGGCATACACCTGTCCTCTCAGGACTGGGGAGGTAGAGGCAGGAGAATTTTACAAGTTGGAGTCCAGGCTTGTCTATATAGTGAATTCTAAGTCAGCCAGGGCTACACAGTGAGATGTTGTTTCAACAAACAAACAAAGCCATAGGAAACTGCTTATCCATGGAAGATGTAATTACTTTGTAGCACACGGGCAGCAGAAACAGGGGCATGCCGATGTAGAGACCCCCGTTCAATCCCACTGGGTTTGTGGCGTTTGCTGGTTGAAATGGATGAGGCAGCAACATACCTCATCCTGGGAAGGCAGCTGCTGAGCCAGCCCGAAGGGCCTCCTCGCCAGCCCTGTCTCCACTCTAATGCACTGGATAGATGCCTGGCTACACCCGAGGGAGCCTTAATGGACTCCTCCGCCTGGCCTCCGCTGAACTAATGGATTCCTAATGGAGGGAGATAATGCCTTTACCAAATGGAGCAGGAGGTGGAAGGCAGAAAGAAGGTCTATCAGTTTCTCTAGGGAACTAGCCACAGTCAGCCCATTCTTGGGTTTGGGTTGGGGGCAGGGTCTCATATAGCCGGGTCTCAACTTCACTGTATAGCTGAGGATGACCTTGAACTTCTGATCCTTCTGCCTCTACCACCAAGTGCCGGGATGGCAAGTGTGCACCAGTATGCCGGGCACCAATCTTTGGCTCTTAAGTCCCCAATTATTTCCCTCATATTCTGGACACCACTGTGTCTCCTGAGGCCCGAGCCCATCTATCTGATTGGGTACTTCACTGGCCGGCTTCTGTCATCTTGTTGAGAGGTTTCTTAGTTACTTTTCTTTTTGCTTTGACAAAATAGCTGATGAAAGCCACGGAAGGAAGGAAGGAAGGAAGGAAGGAAGGAAGGAGGGAGGGAGGGAGGGAGGGAGGGAGGGAGGAGTGGGTTTGTTAGGGCTCATGGGTCCAGGCAAGACCGTCCGTCATGGCGAGGAAGGTGTGGCATCAGGGGTGAGGCTGCTAGTCACAGCCCATGAGGGACATTTCAGAGTCATCCTACTACTCGGGTTGACGGGTGTACCAGCAAAAGCAGCTTTTAACTGTACTTCCATATATGATGTACTTACCAGTCCTGACTGAAGGCTCCAAGGTATGGTCGAAGAGAAAGTTTACTGTAGCTATGAGGGAGAAAACAGCCAGCGGCACCTGGAAGTCCAGACTGAACGTGGATGAGGAAAGGGGGCGGGGGGAGTGAGAGAGGCGAGATGAAGGAGGGGAGCAAGCCGACCCAGAGAGATCCAGGAGCCGAGCCAGACAGGAACCAAGAGGCCAGGAGACTGCATAGCCAAAATGGCTGAGTTTGAGCCGCACGGTGGTGGTGCACGCCTTTAATCCCAGCACTCAGGAGGCAGAGCCAGGTGGATCTCTGTGAGTTCGAGGTTAGCCTGGACTACCAAGTGAGTCCCAGGAAAGGTGCAAAGCTACACAGAGAAACCCTGTCTCGAAAAACCAAAAAAAAAAAAAAAAGCTGAGTTTATACAGAAAAGAGAAGCTGGGGGAAGGGAAGCAGAAGCCCAGCCCATGGGAGGGAGAGGCTCAGGGGAGGGGGTGGGTGAAGAGTGCCGGGAAGGAGCCACAGGTACTGAGTGAGACTTGTCCAGGTTTCTTTGAGACCTGGCGCTGATTGTGATCCAAATTAACCATCAACCGTTCATAGTTCTCAGTTATGGCTCAGGGGTTCTGAACCTCTTCCCACATCGTGTTAAAATGATCTTGCAGAGGTCTCGTGCAGCCAACCACAGCTGCTGTGATGTGAGCTCATGTGTGCCTTGGTTCTGCCATATCTAGAAGATGCTGTTTTTTTTGAGACAAGGATTTTCTGTAACAGTCCTGGCTGTCCTGGAACTCACTTTATAGACCAGGCTGGCCTTGAACTCACAGAGATCCACTTGCCTTTGCTTACCAAGTGCTGGGATTAAAGGTGTACGCCACCACTGCCCAGCAAAGATGCTGTTTTCAATCTGGTCTTTCCTATCTCTAGCTCTTACAATCTTTCTGCCTCCTCTCTCACATTGGTCCCTGACCTTTGGGGAGAGATTATGATATAGAGGGCCTGTTCATAGCCAGTCACCTCTACTGATGTTTATGCATCCACTCTGACCAGTTCTGAATTTCTGCACCAACCACCATCCACTGCACAAAGAAACCTTTCTGATAAGACCTGAGCGATACATTAATCTCTATGTAGAGATGGATAGATTTAGAATCCAATTTTATACTATGTCCATTTGGCAGAATAATAGTAAAAGGTTACCCCTGGGGCTAGTAAACTCTTCAGCCATGGGTTCTTGGCCAGGGCAGCCATAGCAGGCATGTGTTTCTTCCAATGCAGCAGGCTTTAAATTAAGCAGAAAGCGATTGGTTACACCCACAATGTTTATACCGCTATTGCACCCACGGGCATCCCTTACCCTGCTGAGGCAGCACCATTGTTGCTCATTTGATTGACAGCTGCGTAAGACTGTTGCTCACTTTGCCTCCCCAGCAGGCTACATCACACATTCCAGGGCTAGGAAAGCTAGCTCAGCAGAGAGGAAGCTTCTAATCAGTACAAGTTTCCTCCATGTCTTCTGATTTTTTTTTAAAGATTTTTTTTTAAATTTTCATCCATGTGTATGTGTCTGTGTGCATGTGAGTGCAGAGGCCCGCAGAGGCCAGAAGAGGGTGTCAGTAAAGGCTGGAGTTGCAGTTAGTTGTAAGCTACCGATGTGGACTCTGGAATCTGAACTCAGGTCCTCTGGAAGAGCAATACATGCTCTTAACAGATGAGCCACATCTCTGGGCCCTCTTGTTTTCTAATTACTCAATTTTTTGAGTTAAGGTGTCATGTAGCTCAGGATGGCCTCAGACTCTCTATGTAGCTGAGGATGACTTTGAACTCTTTTCCGTTTAAGTTATTTATTTATTCATATGATTGTTTGGCTTGCACGATCTATGTATGTTCACCACGTGTGTGCCTGGTGCCAGCAGAGGCCAGACGAGGGCATCAGATCTCCTGGAACTGGAGTCACAGATGATTGTGAGCCACCATGTGGGTCCCGAGAGGTCCTCTGCAGAGGCAAGCCCTCATAATTGCTAAGCCATCTCTCCAGACCCCACGACCTTGAACTCTTGATCCTCCTGCCTCGACCTCCCTAGGTGCACCAGTCACCACATCCATTGTATCCGACTTGGGGGATAGAGGAGGGTTTTCTGCATGCTGGCCAACCACTCCACCAGTAGACCCAGCCTCAGGCGTATTTGTTGGGTTTGGTTTGGGCTTTTGACACTCGGTCTAGTGTAGCCCAGGCTGGCCTTGAATTGGTGGTGTAGCCTTAAACTCCTGATCTCTCTGCTGCCACCTCCCATAACTTCCTTGTTCACACACATTTATTGCTTCTTTTCCTTCCTTGTCTCATATCCCCTCTCCCTACTGATTTCTTGTGGATCAATTCCCAAATACAGGTAAATTCTTATCTCAACACCTGTTTACAGAGAAACTCAAATACCTCAGATAAGAACCAAGGAGCTTGGCCAATGAGTACTTCCTTAAGGCCTCGTGAGAATAGCCATTAGCATTGCCAGTAAAGGATACTGAAGGAAACACAAATGGAAAGATGTCCCAGGTTCACGGTTCAAGGAACTGACAGTATTTAAGTGTTCTTTGTTTTTGCCTGGTTTGTTTTTCTACTGCTGTGCAAGGTGGCCTTCCCAGGATTCCAGGCATAGAGAGTGGATATATATAAGAGATCCCCGGAGCATGCCGTATTGATGAGCTCTGGCTTTGATTGAGAGACCCTGTGTGTGTTGTATGCATGCATGTGTGCAGGTATTTATGCCTGTGTGCGCACATCTGGAGGACAAAATTTATCTTTCTATCTCATTGTCTAAATCATTATCATCTATCATCATCATCATCTTGAGACAGGGGCTCATTTTGTAGCCCTAGAAGACCTGGAACTCACTATATAAACCAGATTGGTCTCGAATTCAAAGAGATCTGCCTGTCTCTGTCTTCTGAGTGCCAGCATTAAAGATGTATGCCACTATGCCTAGCCAGTCAAATGTTTTTAAAATTACATTTATTTACTCTCTCTCTCTCTCTCTCTCTCTCTCTCTCTCTCTCTCTCTCTCTCTCTCTCTCTGTGTGTGTGTGTGTGTGTGTGTACACCATAATGCAAACGGAGGTCAAAGGGCAACTTTCAGGAGTTGGCTCCCTGTTTCAACCACGTGGGTTCCCAGGGATTGAACTCGGGTCGTCAGACTTGGTGGCGAGTGCCTTTACCCACTGCGCCATCGTGCCAGTCTTAGCGAAATCAAATCTTTATTTTAAAAACCTCTAATGGAAACAAACCATGCTCTCCTTCCCCCAGGACTACGAACCCTCTAAAGGAATTCACCAGGCTCCATGAGGGCAAAGGAGCCAAGAACTGCATTCAGGGATCCTTGGGCTGAAAATCCAGCAGGGTCACAGATGCTTCTGGGCTTCCAACAAAGAAATGTATGTCTGCACCCACTTGGCCTTTGGTTGCACACAGAATTTGCCTCTTTTTGTAGTGAATCTGTAGAAAAGAGGTAAGAAGTGAATGTCGACATCCTTGGCTTAGGAAGCTTTTGAAAGAGGAGGGTGAGTTAGTCTGACCAGCGTTCTTCCTATTCAACACAACTGCTTCACTTCATTCCTGTCCCATCTCCTGCTGATCCTGCTTCTTCTCTCTGTTTCCCCTGGAATCCACACACTCTCAGGCCCACAGACCCCAGGAATCATGTCTCACAGGGTCTAGTTGCCAGACAGTAGTCTGTATTGGGACCCTAGCTTTCATTTCAATATAACAGCTTTATTGAGACATTATTTACACACTCTATGAAGCACACATTTGACGTGACTAGGGATGATGATACTATAGCTTAGCTATAAGGGCACCTGCCTAGAATCCCCCAGTGAGGGGCTGGGGTGTGGCTCAGTGGTAGAGCACCTGCCTAGAATCCCCCAGTGAGGGGCTGGGGTGTGGCTCAGTGGTAGAGCCCCTGCCTAGAATCCCCCAGTGAGGGGCTGGTGTGTGTGTGTGTGTGTGTGTGTGTGTGTGTGTGTGTGTCTCAGTGGTAGAGCCCCTGCCTAGAATCCCCCAGTGAGGGGCTGGGGTGTGGCTCAGTGGTAGAGCCCCTGCCTAGAATCCCCCAGTGAGGGGCTGGGGTGTGGCTCAGTGGTAGTACATTTGCCTAACATGTAGAAAGCCCTAGGTTCAATCCCCAGTAAGGTAAATAAATAAACAAAAACTTAATAGACAAGTACTTGTTGGTTAATAGACTTCAGTATATTTATAGACTAGAGAACTATTGCCCAACCAATTTTAATCTTTCGTGTGTGTGTGTGTGTGTGTGTGTGCGCGTGCGTGCTGAGAGTATAATCCAGAGCTTCATAATATTAATAATAATTAATAATTAAATAAATGCCCTACCGCTGAGTTATACCACAGCTCAGCACAATGAATTTTAGAGGACAGAAAGAGACTCCATATGAATATGCCACTTCATCCTCTTTTTCATACTTTTTAATTTTATTTATTTATTTATTTTATTTAATTATTATTTATTTATCGCTATAGTGTTCCAGGCTACAGAAATATGAAGCAGGAATTCAGCTGACTATAACAAAAGCTGCCACCTGGAAAGGTCAAGGACTTTCCAGAGGAAGCCAAGGCTCAAGGCGTATTGGTGTCCTTGGGCTTTGTGAATATATCAGCTGTTTGCGGCTACGAATTTCATGTGTGCTATTATAGCTTCCCCAATTGATTCTTTTTCCTAAGAACTTCTAAACAGTGTGGATTGGTCAGTCTTTGGGCATGTACCACTAAGATATTTGGATAAGGGCCACACAGGCAAGGCTTCCTGCTTCCAGGCTTTTTGTTTCTCCTTTCTTAGCATTAGAATCAGATATCTCCTTTAGCTAACATCCAAGGACAAAGGACAGACAGAATGAGCATTTCCGGCCACCTGCTAGTCTCCTGAATTAAGATAAATATCCATACGAAGACACCGTCAAGGCCAGGCAACTGTTAGGGACATAGCTTTGTTTCTTGTGCAAATTAAGCTCAGGCCCCTCTTTTTTACACAACCTTAGTGGCACCCCCAGATTTCCCCTCCAACAATTAACTCAGAACAAAAGGGCTTTTTCATACCTGGTGCATCAAGCTGTGTGAGGCAGGTTTCCTAGCTCCCAGCAGACTTAGCCTGCCTGCCCGCCCGCCCGCCCAGAAAGGGGCAGAGCCAGAGTATTGCTGATGTATGGAGATGGGGTCACCGGGAGAGGAAAGGAAGGAAGGAGGATAGAGAGGGACGAAGATGAAGATGAGATGGGAATAAACTTAAAACTGTGAGAGGACAGGAGGAGAAGGGACAGAGAGGAGCTAAGTGTGAGAACAGAACTGGAGCTGTGTAGATAGCATTTTGTCTCAGAAGAATAAAAGTGAACGGACTAAAGAGTTTCATGTAAGTAGATTGATTCATTCGATATCCCTCACATTACTAACCCATGCCGCTCAGAGCATCTTCCCTGGGACTCAAGGAGCAGTCTTCTCAGGGCAGGCTTCTGAGGGGCTTTTGATACTACAGTGCGTACATGGAGGTCAGAGGACAGTTTGCAGGAAGTAAGCTTTCTCTCTCCATCACAGGGAGCCAGGAGAACAAGCTCAGATGATTGGGTTTGGTTGGCAAACCTCCTGAGCCATCTCACACTTGTTTGTGCTCTAACAAATAAAACCTGCCTGAAGCTCAGAGGGCAGAGCCAGCCACTAGATCACCATAGAGGCCAGGCAGTGGTGGCACACACCTTTAATCCCAGCACTTGGGAGGAGGAAGCAGGGAAGATCAGGAGCTGAAGGCCACCCTGGGCTACACAAGGTTGTGTAGAGAAAAAAAGCCAGGTAGTGGTGGCTCACACCTTTGATCCCCGCACTAGGGAGGTAGAGACAGGAAGTGATATGGCTGAGCGGAGAGAGGAATATGAGGTGGGGAGAGACAGGAGTTCAGCTCCCTTTCAGGCTGAGGATTTGGTAGAGATAAGAAGTCTCTCTAGTGGCTGGCTTCTTTACTGACCTTTCAGCATTTACCCCAATATCTGGCTCCAGGTTTTTATTACTAAGGCCAATTAGGATTTGTGCTACAAGGTCTTACTATGTGGCCCCAGTAGGCCTCAAACTCATGATCCTTCCACCTCAGCCTTCTGAGTGTTGAGATTACAAACTTATAATCACTGTGTTTACCTCTTGCTTTTATACCCAGCTGTTAGAGCATGGCATGCTACGTGGTATGAAAGTCGGGATCTAATTAGCTCAGAGCCACATGCGTTTCTGCAGAGAGAGGGCTCTAACCTAGCTTGGTGGTTAGTTTTCATTGTAAACTTACAATCTAGACTCATCTAGGAAGGAAGTCTTGGTTGCGGCTATTGAGTATATTCATTGAAGTGGGAAGACTTGGCCACTGTGGGTGGTACCATCCTTTAGGCTGGGGACTCTGAACTATATTAGAGAAATCAAGCTGAGCTCTATCATGCATGCATCAAATTCATTGTTTTCTGCTCTTGACTGTGAATATAATTATGACTAGCTGCTTCAAGATTTTGCTACCTTGACTTTACCAGCAATGATGGATTGTGTCTTAGTTTCAGTTGTCAGTGTAATCTTAGCCTGGGATCATCTTAAAAAAACCTCAATTAAAGAATTGCCTCCATATTGGTCTGTGGAGACATCTGTTAAAAAACTGTCTCCACTGACGACTGATGTGAGAGAACCCAGCCAACTCTAGGTGGCATCATTCCCTAGGTGGGACCATTGCTAGGCAGGTGGGCCTAGAAAGCTAGCAGAGACCATGAGCCACAGAGCAAACTCAGTAAGTCGCGTTCTTTCATGTTCTCTTCTTCTGTTCCTGCCTAGAGATCTGACTTCCCTCAGTGACGGAGTGTCAACCCGAAATAAACCCTCTCGTCCCCAAGTTGACACGCTATTCATTATAGCCACAGAAAGCAAACTGGAATTTCTCCCTCAAGTTGCTTCTATCCGAGTATTTTATCCCAGAGACACGAAACAAAACTGAGATGCTCACTTCCCAGCTTCCCACCCGATGCCCAGTTCATCACTGTGGACATCTACCCAGTCCCTCCCCGGTGATGTGGCTGATGCAGCGGGACCTGATACTCACACCATGAGATCTTGGGGACAGCTGCCTTTGGCGATCTCATAGGAGTGCACCCAGTTCCACGGGATCACATGGTGGCTGTAATAGAGGCAGCAAGGCTTGTCGCTTTCTAAAAACCACGGAGAAGAATGACCTTGAGACGGCCCTTCCGGAGGAGGAGCTGCGGGGGGGGGGGGGAGCGGTAGATCATCTACGTACGTGCGGCAGCTCCAAGGTGGATACCGAGGAAGAAGGCCAGGAGAACAATGGAACTCAAAGAGACGGTCTTCATGGTCCATGGGCCTGGGCTCTTCATAGATGTCTCCTGAATTCCTCTTATCTTGTCTTCTGTGAGGCTGTGCAGTACCTGAAGAAAAGTCCAGAGAATTTTGTGGTTGAAAACAAAGTATTGAATGTATATGTAGGGGTGGGGGTGGGCTTCGGATCCCCAGGAATTAGAATTATGGATGGTTGTAAGCCACCCGATGTGGGTCCTGAAAACCAAATTTAGATTCTCTGGAAGAGAGTAAATGCTCTTAATAGTTGAGTCATCTTCCCAGACCCTCACCTTGGTTTTGTTTTGTTTTGGTTGTTGTTGTTGTTGTTTGGTTTCTTGAGACAGCATTTCTTTGTGTAACCACCCTAGCTATTCTGGAACGCATTTTGTAGACCAGGCTGGCCTCAAACTTACAGAGATCCTCCTGCCTCTGCCTCCGAGGTGCTGGGATTAAAGATGTGTGCCACCACTGCCCAGGTTTATTTATTTATTAAGATAAAGTTTATCAGTGTAGCCCAGGCTGGCTTCAAACTTGTGATCCTCCTGCCTTACCATCCTGAGGACTGACGTTACAGGTGTTCATCACCAAATCTATTTTGAGGTGGGACATTATGTATCATTTAACTCTTTGTAAATAAATAAAAGATTTATTTTAAATTTGTAGTTGTGTGCATGTGTGTGGGGAGGTGGTATGTACTAGTGAGAGCAGGTGCCTGTGGAAGCCAGAAGAGAATGCTGCGTCTCCTGAAGCTGGAGTTACAGATGGTCCTGAGCCACCCAAAGTGGGTGCTAGGAACTGAAAGTGGGTCCTCTGCAAGAGCAGTTCTCGTTATTAATCAATGAGCCATCTTTCCATGCCCAGATTCAACCCTTTTCAAACCACCTCCCTTTTAGCCATCTGGGTTATTCTGATTGCTTCCAATGACAGGGAACTCATTACCTAATGCATCCCAGCTCAGGATAGCTATACATGTAATCATACTCTTAAATTCTTCTAAAAATTCAGCTAGGCTTGGGGGCATACCCCTTTAATCCCAGCACTCCAGAGGCAGGGGTAGGCAGATCTCTGAGTTTGAGGCCAGCCTGCTCTTAAAAAAAAAAAAATCTTCTAGGGGCTGGAGAGATGGCTCAGTGGTTAAGTGTTAGTATTCCTAGCCACTTCTGGAGTCACATGAGTGCATATGCGCTGTCAGCAGTCAGGCAAAATGCTTTAGAGGCCTTAGGTCCTCTGTAATCAGTGCGCAGTGTGGTCACATAATCTATACGCATGGCGTAGCTACTTAAGCCCAGATACACATGCGCAAGGTGACCTATAAAACAGGCTCTATCCGCTCCTCCCCCTCCTCTCTCTCTGTCTCTCCCTCTTTCCTTCCCTCTCCACCACTCACCTTTTTTTTTTTCGGTAGACCTACCCACCTCCACTCTTTCCCTTCCCTAATAAAAACTCTTATAGTGGGTTCCATTGTACCTCGTGTTTTCTGGAGCCTGGTAAATAACACCAACAAATAAATAACATTAAGAGCACTGGCTGCTCTTCCAGAGAACCCAGGTTCAATTCCCAGCACCCACATGGCAGCTCACAGCTGTCTGTAACTCAAGTTCCAGTGGATCCGGCATCTTCCTACAGACATACATGCAGGCAAAACACCAATAAATAAAAATAAAACTTCTAAAAGTGTGATTAAAGTATAGGTTCTGTCCGTGACTATCCTTCTACGGTTAGTGGTCATTGTGTTTCTTTTATGAATCAGAATCCCTCCAAGTAATGGGTGTGTCCATAAACGGGCATCTGCTGGAATCTACCTTCTCAGCAATCCTGCACAATGCTCTGTCCAGGGCTTTGAGGTAGTCCTCTTATTTTTCCTTCTTCTCTCCTTTTTGGGTGCAGAAGATCCAACCCAGAGCCTCGTGCTACACCCCGAGTCCTGAGCATATCCATCATTTCAGCCCCTCTGGGTCCTGTTCTGTCCCCAGCTCACCCTCCCCTATGGTTAAATTCCCTGCTCCATACCCTCCAGGTTGCTGGCTGCGATCTGGTTACATTTGTATGGATGTGCCAGAAACCCCCATCTGGGATGCTTCCCAAGGTCTGGTCAGCTATTTGAAATTCTGCTGCCACGGATACCCTTCTAAAATTCTTCTGTTGTCATGGTCACAGGGATGGAACAGACTGGCTCACTTGTCCAGGCTTCCTTCCTTATGTCCCTTGTGTTACAGAATGGTGTTACTCGAATTCTAAATGGTATTATATACAGAACCCGGAGCCAGATATCGGGGTCAATGCTGAGAGATCAGAGAGACAAAGGAACAAGCCACTGCCACGTCTCACCTCTAAGACTCCTCAGCCTGAAAAGGCCTTCAGTTCCTGTCTCCTCAGGCCTTATATACCTTTCTCCCTACTTCCATATTACTTCCTGGGATTAATGGCGTGTGTGCTTCCCAAGCAAAGGCATGAGATCTCAAGTGCTGGGATTAAAGGTGTGTGCCACCATTGTCTGACTCTGTTTCTCTCCTAGACTGAGTCAATCTCATGTAGGCCAGGGTGGCTTTGAACTCACAGAGATCCAGGCAGATCTCTGCCTCCCAAGTACTAGGATTAAAGGTGTGTGCCACCACTGCCTGGCCTCTATGTTTAAAGTGGCTTGGTCTGTCCTCTGATCTTCAGACAAATTTTATTAGGGTACACAATATATCACCACAGACTACTGTATTCCCATCCCACAAATTCATATGTTGAAGCATTAACCCTTCAATGTGCCTATGTTTGGAAACAAGAACTTAATAAAGACTTATTTTTTGAGACAGAGTCTTACTACATAGCCCTGGTAAGCCTGGAACTTACTATGTAGACCAAGTTGGCCTCAAACTCACAGAGATCCATTTCCTCTGCCTCCCAAGTACTGGCATTAAAGGTGTGCCCCCACCATGCCTGACTATTTTTATTTTTGTTTATTTTTATTTTAAATTATGTGTATGTCTGTGTGTGAGTATGGGCACATGAGTGTAGTTGCCTGTGATGGTCAGAAGAGGGAGTCAGGTCCTCTGGAGCTGGACAGGAAGTTGTGAGCCTCCTGAGGTGGGTTCTGGGGACTGAACTTGGCTCCTCTGGAGGGAGCAGTAGGTTCTTATCCACATCTTGAGGGTATCAAAAACAGAGACAGGAGAGGAAGTGGATCCCCACTATGATCTGGAAGACCCCACTCCCCATCAGCCTTCTTCCTCCAGTCAGGCCCTACCTCCCAAAGGCTTCCCAAGTCTCCCCAAAGAGCCGGGCGGCGTTGGTGCATGCCTTTAATCCCAGCACTCAGAGGCAGAGCCAGGCAGATCTCTGTGAGTTCAAGGCCAGCTTGGTCTACAGCGAGATCCAGGACAGGCTCCAAAACTACACAGAGAAACCTTGTCTCAGAAAAAACAAAAACAAAAACAAAACAAAACAAAATCTCCCCAAACCACCACCAGCCAGGCACCCTGTGTTCAAAGACATGGGTCTGGGTAGGGTGTGTGTGTATGTGTGTGTGTGTGTGTGTGTGTGTGTTGGAGGGGGGGAGAGAACATCTCACTTTCAAAGCACAGCACAGAAGAAAGGGCAGCCCAGTCCACATGCTGGCTTTCTTTGAGTATGGTTTCACTATTTAACTTAGACTGGACTTGAACTCAAGATGTTCTTACTTCAGCCTCTTAGGTGCTGGCATTACTGATGTGTGTTACCAGATCCAGCTAGAGTCAGACTTTTGGGGCTGCAGAAATGCCTCAGCAGGTAAGAGTGCTTGGTGCTCTTGTGGAGGGGCCTGAGTTTGGGTCCCAGCAACCACATGGGGCTGGCTCACAATTGCCTGTTAACTCCAGTTTCAGGGATCTGATATCTCCTCTGGCCTCTGTGGGTGCTGACACGCATAAGGCACACACTCACAGACAAACACATGCATGCACATAAAATAAAAATAATTGCCGGGTGGTGGTGGCGCACACCTTTAATCCCAGCACTTGGGAGGCAGAGCCAGGTGGATCTCTGTGAGTTCGAGGCCAGCCTGGTCTACAGAGCAAGATCCAGGAAAGGCACAAAGCTATTACAGAGAAACCCTGTCTCAAAAAAACCAAAATTAATAATAATAATAATAATAATAATAATAATAATAATAATGACATTTTAAAGACAGACCTTGTTTGTTTGAAGGAACTGTATAACTCTTCAAAGCAGTTCTTTGAGAGAGATGGCTATTTTTTAAAAATTATTCTATTTTGTATGTATGGGTGTTTCGCCTACATGCATGTCTTATATGCCAGATGTACACAGTGCCCTCAGAGGCCAAAGAGGGCACTGGATCCCCTGGAATGGAGCTACAGGGGGTTTTGAGTGGCCCTGTGGTTGCTGGGAATCCAACCTGGGTCCTTTGCAAGAGTAGCCAGTGCTCTTAACCGCTGAGCCATTGCTCCATCCCGAGCTTAGTTTTTATCCTTCTTGGCTGTCTAAGAAAATGGAGATCCAGAGAGAGGAACTGGTTTATCCAAGGTCAACGCTAAAGCTGGACGTCTTCTGCCTCATTCTGAAGAGTCTCAGCGTCTTGTCCCCTTCTACCCTAAAAACGAACCTCCAAGTAGGTTTCCCCCAGCCTCTATCCAAAATGGTCCTATAGGTAAGTGAGGAGTGTTGGAAAATACTATTTTAAGGTGTGTTACTTTTGTTCATGTTGAGTTTGTTTACCTCTGAGAAGCTGTGTTACTGTGCCTGTCTAAAACACCTGATGGTCTAATAAAGAACTGAATGGCCAATAGCAATGCAGGGGTGAGGATAGGCGGGGCTGGCAGGCAGAGAGAATAGAGGGAGAAATCTGGGGGAAGAAAAAAAAAGAGGGGTTGGGGATTTAGCTCAGTGGTAGAGCGCTTGCCTAGCAAGTACAAGACCCTGGTTTGGTCCTCAGCTCTGAAAAAAAAAAAAAAAAAAAAAGAATTTGCCAAAGAAGAAGGAGGAGGATCCCAGGGGCCAGCCACCCACCTACATAGCAAGCCACAAAGTAAGAGTAAGATTTACAGAAGTAAGAAAACAGGAAAAGCCCAGAGGCAAAAGGTAGATGGGAAAAA